CATTAAAATTGTATTTGGTCCTCAAGCTGGAGGAATGTTGGAAGATTTTAAATGTTAAGAGGAAAAGCGGGGGGGGGGGGGGACGCTTTCAAAGGATAAAATTGGCATGGAAACAAGTTTCCAGGACTGAGGGATGTGGAGTGTAGCCCCCCAGAGCCTGGAAATCCTACCTTCCTGGGAAGTAGATGTTCTCTATAGATACATTTCAGCCACAGCCTGGAAGGTGATGTATGTAGCTCCCACCCAGCCAGGGAGCCAGGCAGGGGAGAGCTCACAGGCCTAGGGCACCTGAGTTGTTTTAGAATGGACTTGCAAACGCCATTAATTCCCTTTCTGGAAACATAAGCCTCAGCCTTCCTGGCCTGGATGAGACCAGATAATACATGGCCCTCAACCACGTGGAGAACTCTGAAACTCCCCTGCCCATTACCACCTAAGCGGTTTTAAATGGGTTTCGGGTCCTCTCATCTCTAATAGATTAAAAAGATGTTCCCTCAGGCATCGCAAGGGCATTGAATGGTACTTGTCCCGAAATGTTGGCTCGGAGAAGCCTATGAAATGTATGTTAGAGCTTTGGAGACAGAGAACAGACCATAAACCACTCGGCTTTTGAATTGTGTGGCCTGCTGGGTCCAACTGCAGTCTCTTTCTTAATAATGTCCTTCACAGAAGGCCCTTCCCCCACATACCTGAAATTTTTTTCAGGGCATGTTCTCTATAAAGGCTTCAATGACTCTGTAATCTGAGTGAGACTATCCCCTTCCCAGGGTGAACTGAGGCCATGAGAGAAGAGTGTGTGTGTGTGTGTGTGTGTGTGTGTGTGTGTGTGCGCGCGCGCGCGTGCGTATGTGTGTGTATATGTATGTCTGCATGCATGTGCACACATGGAAGCCAAAGGTCGATGTCAGATGTCTTAATCACCTCTCCAGTTTGTTTTTTAAAATTATAAGTACAAAGGTTTTGCCTCCTAGGTGTGTGTACCACGTGTGTGCCTAGCACCAGCAGAATTAAGTTAAGGTTATCAGGGTCCCAAAACTAGAGTTATAGATGGTTGTAGCCACCATGTAGGTGCTAGGAACCTGAATCCTCTACAAGAGCAAGAAGTGCTCTTAACCACTGAACTATCTTTCCAGCCCCAATTTCTTCATTTTGAGACAGAGTCTGTCTAAAACCCTGGCTGTCCTGGAACTTGCTCTATAGACCAGATTAGCCTTGAACTCATAGAGATCCACCTGCCTCTGCCTCCTGAGCACTGGGATTAAAGACCACCATCTTGCACTGAGCCTGCAGCTCTCTGGTTTGGCTAGTCTGTCCAGAAAGCCCCAGGGTCCCCTATCTCTGCTTCCCTGGGGCTAGGATTACAGACCCTCCCCACAGCACACATACACACCCCACACACAAGGCGGGCTCCCCTCTTCAGCCCCTTCCATCAACCACTCAGGGCAGCCAAACCAGGTCTAGCATCCCTCACCTCCAGTCACCCTCTCCTGCCTTGTCTCTGCCCCTTTTACTTGTATTCTCTGAGCAGGTCCTCTTCAGGCTCCCCAAGGCTAAGCCAAACCTCTCTCCTGCTCCCGGTCATTTCTTGGGCACCACAACTTAACTTCTCTTAGCCCAGTGCAGAAACCCCCATAGCTCTTCGATGAGGGCTGTTATTAGCAATTCACATTAACTATACAAGTAAATAGGAACCATTGTGATACTTCAATGTGTACGTTCGAAGGACCTAACTCATGGCCACCTAATTCCCAGTCCCAATATTACCCTTGTACTTTCAGGTCAGCCTTCTTGTTTTAGGTTTCCATAATTAGAGAACGTAATGTCTACTTATAGTGCTGGGACTTGAACCCAGGTCCTTGTGAATATTATGTTCTTGCTCTATTATTACTGAGGTATGCCCCCCCCAACCTCCAGCCCAGAGGACTCATTTGTCAGCATAATTTTTCCCTTGCCAGTAACCATGCAACACTCGTTAGACTGTTAGTATCTGTTGATTGAGAAAACAAATGATGGCAAAAACCTCTAGGAATCCGGTAAATGCCTTTAAATGAATTTGTGTACCAGTAATTATAGTGCTTATGCATGCTTGGGAAATGGCCAGGCTCCCGGGGATCTACCCAGATCATGCTGGATTGTCCTAGTGGGGAGGGTCTTGGAGAGTCCTAGGATCCTCACTGCTGACACAGCTCTGTTGTTGCTACGCTCTTTTCAGAATGGGAGTGTCCCCCAACCCAGCAGAGGCAGGCTGGCTGCCGTTCAGCCTCCTCAGGCTTGTCCTGATATGGCCCGGCCATGGCCTTACTCACTATCGGCCCCACAGCTGCACCCCAGAGGCCCAAGTTACTTAGCCCTGAGGTTGCTGGAGTGAAGCCCAGTACTGCTTCATTCAGGCCATGACTGGGCCAGAGGGCAGGAGGGAGCAGGGGTGGGGCCACCTGTCCACCTTGTGGGGCAATGGGCAGCTCTTTGCGAGCCCCTTCTTGCTGGGGTGTCTCCACAACCCCTACCTGCTCTTGTATCTTTGCCTTTTGATTCTCCCAAGGGCTCAGGAGAAGGAGAAGGTGAGGGATGAATGAGTGGAAACTCTAGGGAGGAGTCTCTGTCCTCCAAGCCTCATGACAAGGCCACGGCAGTGGGCAGTGCAACAAAGTCCTGTTTATGACCAGCTCATCCTTAGCCACAGAGAGCTGGAATGTGTGGAGGTGGTGGTGTTCATGACAGACCCTAGGCTTCTGACTCACAGGAAGAAAAGAGCCTCTGGGCCTAGGCAGCCAGAGCTATTTATCTGGGTCTTCAGGAGACATGTGGGAGGGTAAATGCACCCCCACCTCAGACCTACAGAGTTGCAGCCACAAACAAAGGGAGCAAAAGGAAAAAGCTTCAGACTCCTCAGCAACCCAAGGTCCCACTTCTGAGAGGTAGAGCCCTGCTCTCTTGCCATTATCCCCTGCTGCCTCAGAGCTGTAGACGGCACAGCCCAGGAGCAGAAATACCTTCAGAGGTTTCCTGACCTAAACCCAAAGGCCTGCAAGAACAAGTACCTCAGTTTACCCAGCCATCAAGTCCAGTGTCCCCAAAGACAGGCTGGCTACCCAGCAGACTGCATCACTGCCCTCAACCCCAGACTCAAGGCAGAGGTTCTGCCCCGGAGTGCAGGGACCTCTCTACTCCCAGAGAAGGTGTAGCCATCTCACCTCTGAGAGGACAGGGAAGCAGGCTGAGGCCAGAAAGTCTACTGACAGAGGCATATCCCTACAGAGGTGGAGCAGAGGCACAATCACCCTCCCAGTGAGCTGCAGGGATTGTCTAGGTTTGAGAGACAGTCACACTTGTCCCGGAACCACCTGTGTCTTACAGGTGACTCTGGCCAAGTGCCAGTCTCTTTGGGCTCAATTTCCCAACTTTTAAAGCAGATAAAGCACTCCTGATGACAATTCCGGCCTCCCAGTAGGCTGGGGGCTGATGAGGACAGGCTAGGCTAACAGGCCATGGTTCAAATCCCTGGTCCTCTCATACCTGCTGGTTCACATGGGAAAGCCTCTTGACCTCTCTTTGCCTCAGTTTCCTTAGCGTGAAAGTGGACTGGTGGCACCGATTACCTTGTAGGTTAGCTGTGGGGTTAAACAGTCCATCTAAACTATCCAAAATATTCCATGACACAGCAGGGGCTATGCACATGGCAGTGTGAGGAACGATGTGGAACCAGGCAGCGTGTGTTGGCAAGCTTGAACTGGATTTAAGAGCCACACCTGGCAAGCGTGGACTGTCCGCAGGGAGACGAGTGTGAGACAGGTACTTAGCCTCCTCCCAGGAGTGGTTATAAAGGAGCTTTACAACTGTACCTCTAGTTACCACAAGTGCCACTGCCTGGGCACAGGTGAATCACCACAGGCTAACATGGAAGTTATGGGGGCTCAGCCTCCTGTTTCAGGCCTTTGCGCTTTCCTCCCACAACACCTCAGCAGCCACCTTGACATCCTCAGTTGCCAGGCAGAGCCTATGTCCCTTCCCCCTCCAACAGGTGCACACTGTGGCCTGGAGGACATGGGCAGGTAAGGGGAGCCTGTGTGGGGACAAGGGTAGGGCAGCCTTGGACTTTCCATACAGAGGCATGCTGGCAGGCCCAGCCGTTGGCAAGTGTCTCTAAGCTTAGGTCCTGAACAAAGTGAGAGGCACTGCCGTGTTTGGAGCCAGCCAGCCGTGCCCAGGGCTTGGAGTGAAGGTCAATTAGAGGGTTAATGATGCCCAGTACTGCCCAGTCACATGACGGCCAGGAGTCCAGCAGAGGGAGAGGTATTAATAACTTGTGGTGAGGGCCCTGCTGTGGGAATGTCCTCTCAGATGGGACAAACACTCCCCAGAAGAGCCACCCCTCACTGTCTCCTTGGCATTCTTGCGAGACAAAGTCAGAATGACTTTAGAAGCTGGTTTTCCCAAGCCCACCTTACCGAGTGCACTGAGTTCAGGGAAATTTCTGTGCCCATGCCTTAATTCTGTCCCGAACTCTACATCCTCTTCTACAACACAGAGAAACCGAGGCCTGCCCAAGGTCACACAGCAGCCATATATGTTAATCATAAAACATAACTCAAATCACGAGAGCCTAGCTCTGCTCTATAGAAATAAAACAATCCCGTCAGGAGTGGATACCCAGCAGCTCTGCTTGCATCCTGTTCCTGGAAACTCGTATGTGTGTAGGTTGCTTGATAGTTTTAGTATTTAAACTCAAAAGGTGAAAGGTGGTTATTTAAAGTCTCCCTCTCACCCTTGATTCATGGAATCAGACCAAAGCCAGTTTCTTGTGACAAAGAATTTCAGAAGAAATATGCACCTATGTGCCATCTTGTTTTAGAGTTCAAGGGTGACACACCCAGCATACCCCTTCATATAATTTATATCCCCCCCCTTTTTTTTTTTTGCCAGAGAAGTGGGCAGTTAGGAATCACCTGTGCTGGGCTGGAACAGTGGTAAAGGCCAAAACCGAAAGCCGGGGATCGGACAGCCCACCTGGTGGGAGCAGCAGCTTCTGTCTCTTGCCCTCCTCGGGAGGACTTGGTGATACCATGGTGGTGCTACACAGCACTGACAAGGGGAATAATGGGGTAGGTGTGCCGCTGGAGCCCTTCCTGCACCAGGTCGGTGGCCACCTGAGTATGCTGCAGTATGACGCGTACACAGTGTGCAAGCCCCTCATCTCCCAAGAACAGAAGTTCTACGAGTCCCTGCCACTGGCTATGAGATGCTTCACTCCACAATACAAAGGTGAGTGGTGGAGCCTGGGCTCAGCTGCTGTCACTGGCAGGGGGTGTGAGGACTGTATGGTGACAACCCTCTTCCTGGCAGCCAGTGTCCCCACGTTAGTGTGTCTCTGAATTCCTCCAAGCCTCCACATCATGAGTATTAATGGTTTCAGAGATAGGGCAGGCCACTCAGCTTCACTGAATTGGAAATGGCATCAAGCGATGCCCAGTCCTCCTGGGTCCTGATGAGATAGTCTACCCTGATCTTTGGGAGCATTATGGGTGTGGCTGTGGCTAAACATAAGACACAATATGGTCTCCCTCTGGAGACCCAGGCCAGACAGGACATGGGGAATCTGGGACATGACTTTGTTTGGAGTCCAGAATCCCCATCCCATACAAGCAGGGCAAAGGCCGGGCTGCCTTCCAGTGTGTGCATCTTGGAAAACTGTGGCATGGGCAGTGTGTGTCCTGGAGCCAAGCACAGGTAGTTGTGGGAAGAAAGAGCTTAGTAGAAGGGTTGTGCCTGTTGGCTTTCTTGTCTGATACCCTGCTTAGATCCAAGGGTAGGAGTTTGGTCCCCACTCAGGGGTTAGTGAATGAGGTCCTGTAAAGTTGACTGTCAGGTGAGGCCCCCCCCCCCAGAACATGTCCCTCTAAAGAATCTTAGTTTTTCATGACCAAAGGCTGCTGCCCTGTTGCCAAAGTGTCTTCAAGGACAGCAATTACGACATTCAAACAAGCCCATCAGAAACCTACTATGGGGGCTAGGGTCGTGATTCAGTCTTCTGAAAAGTGCTTGCCTAATATGCTTGAAGACCTGGTCTCCATCCCCAGCAGTGTACCAACTGGAGCATGGTAGCATATGCCTATAGCACCTTTCTCAGGAGGTAGAGGCAGAAAGACCAGAAGGTCAAGGTCACCTTTGGTTATGCAACAAGTTCAAGGCTCAGAAAATAAAGAATCCCATTGCATTCCAGTGCTCAGAACAACTGGGAAGGCAGAGGACTCTGCACTGGTGTTTCCAAGAGGGCTTTATCAGTACTCCCAGACTCCATTCCAGGAGCCAAGCAGAACCCAGTCCTGACCCAGTTATGATCAGGTGTCACATCAATCAGGGACCCAAATGGGAAGGTCTGCTAGGTGAGACCAGACCACGGGCCTGGATGTGACTGCTGAGCCTTGGTTCACACTGAGTCTCTGTGATGAGTTGGCTCATCTTGCTCATCCTGGGAGACAGAAGAGGACAGTGGGCCACCGGTGGGGCCCTCACTCTTGCCTGCCCTGGCCTTCTCCCCAGTCAGCGCTGCTTAGCTGGCTTCAGGTCACTGCCTATTTTGTCAGAGCACACACTGGAATTAATGTCTGTCCTTCTATAACTGAGCTCAATGTAGCAAAGGGTAGCAGGTCCTGGCGTGAGGTGGATCCCTGCCAGCGGCATTTCACGCTTGCTTGGCACAGCTCTGGAGCTGAGAAAGACTGTGGGAACCACCATGGGCAAAGGGCAGGCTGTTCGGGTCTTTGGGAGGCCCGCCTCACTGTGACTCTTTGTCATGTCTACATTGGCCTATACTCTGGTAGGGATGACAGGGCACTCTCAGGGAGTACACACCTATCCAGACAGACCTCTGCTTTCTGGGAATGCCTCTTTGAGGTTCTACTATTTGGGGTTCTAACTCCAATTACAAGACACTCCCTGCTCAGAAAAGGGTTACAACCCCAAATAATCTTTGTAAGTTAAAAATATAATAGATAAAAATGCATTTAATAGGCAGAACCTGCCTCCTCACACCCTAGCTTAGCATGTGGTGTCCGCAGAATCGACTGGGAGCCACAGCCTCTGCCTGGCGTCCTGAGAGGCTTGTGTCATGTGTCACTAGTCCAGGAAAAGATCAGACAGAACAATCAAAGGATGTTTTCTCCTAGATACATTTCATTCACGCTGTCATGAAGTAAGAAACTTGTAGGTCAGACTACCCTGTACTGAGGGCTGCCTGTACCTTGAGCCAAAGGTTGTAGCTAAATGAAGCAGGATCTAGGTCAGCCTTGCCTTTGGTGTGTCTTTTTTTTTTTTTTTTTTTTTTTTTCCAAAACTGAGTTTTTCTGTGTAGCTTTGGAGCCTGTCCTGGCATTCTCTTTGTAGCCCAGGCTGGCCTCAAACTCATAGAATCCATCTGCCTCTGCCTCCTGAATCCTGGGATTAAAGGCGTGTGCCACCACCACCTGGCAACCTTTGGGATGTCTTACAGATGATATTTGTAAACACAGTGGGGGTTAGCTGGAAGAGAGGACCTCTAGACTCCCTGGGATAATGGATGACTATCAGCCGGCCTCAGAGAAGGTTTGAGTGGCACCCTAATGCCAGGCTTTGATTAAGCAGAAATACTGACTCACTCTCTGGCAATTCAAGGAGACCATAGAGAAGGCCTGGAACCCAGGAGGACACTCAGTTCATTCTTGGGTACCTGCAGTAGAGCTGGGAGCAGTAATGGAGGTGGCTGGTTTTAACCAATAATGGAAGTGGTAGCAGCTTGTTCATCAAGCTTACTCTGGACCATTGCAGGAGGGCTCCACTCCCTAGTTTACATAAAGCTAATCAGTCTCAGAAGCAAACACTTCATAACCCCAGAGACACAGATGAGAGTGGGCTTGCCTGTGGCAGTGAGAGGCCAGGACAGGATTTGAAGCCCTGATGTCTAGCTCTAGATGGTGGGTTCTTGGCCCCATCTCCCACTCCACTCAGCTGCCTGCCGAGCTGAATGTCAATTTCAGGGGCCATCTATCCCCAGGAGGGAAGAGACCATCTCTCTCAGTAGCACTCGGGCAGATCATGTCAGTAAAGGACAGATAACCTTCTGCTCCTGTATAAGAATAGCTTCCTCAGAGAGGAGGGGCTGTTTGTGAAATGGCTGCCACACACCATGGAGCCCATCCTATGCCTTCCTCCACAATGGCATGGCTGGGGTGGCATTCTAAAAGGCAGTGCCGTGTACCAGCAGCTCACTCTAGATCTTAGCTAATTCGCAGCGTTGCCATCTTGGGGCTGTGTCCCTAGCCTCTCAGTCGGCCTGTGGGCCTTGGGTGTATGAGGACAGGCACTTGGGCTCAGTTTGCACAGGGTTTGGCCAGATTCGTATTACAGATGGCGGCGGTGAATGTCCTCATAAACTTAAAAATAAACACATGACACAATATCTGCCGAGGCTCTGGAAGCAGCTTGGTCAAACCAAAATTGCTGAGCTGCTCTGGGCATGCCAATCGTGACAGTAAGCACCCTGTCTGGCCAGCTGGCAGACTCTCAGGCTGAGGTGCAGGGGAAGGACCATGATGGCAGTCCCCCCAACCCCCACCAAAGTCTCCCAGTAGGGCCTCAGCTGCAGATCTCAGGCCTCCGGGATCTAATCCTCATAGACACAGCAGCTCCTAACTGGAGAGCATAACCCAGGCACCAGAGTCTGGGCTCTCCCTGGTCAAGGGCAGGCAACCTCCCTCCCCCCATACACACAGTTCACAAGGGAGATCTCAGTGGGTCATCTCCAAGGAAGTGCCTCACGGTGAGAGAAGAGTGAGGGAGGGTGCAGGGGCTAGAAGACAGCGGACAGTGAGCCCATCAGAAGCAAAGATGGAGCGTCAAGGACACTGTGCTGGTGGCAAGGTCCTGACAATATGAGAAGTTGAAAGGACTTGGGGTTTTATTAGTTGGGGTTTGCACGTCCACTTGCTGGCATTTATGCAGGCACTCAGAGACGATGAGACCAGACAAGAATGAAGCCTGGAACAGCGGGTAAGGTCACATTTCCTGTCTCTCCAGGGAGACCTCTTGGGTACAAGCCGCCAAGAACTGTGTTTTCTGGCAGGCTTGTCACCATAGGCCCTCAAGTAGAAAAGGCCAGGGGCTACCACATGGGAGTGTGAACTTTAGGAGACCCCAGAGGACATTGCTCTTGGCTACTGGGGCTTCCTGGATCCACTAAGCAGCTAGAAGGGCACAGACTCCCTCCAGGACAGGCACAGGCAGCTAGCCCTTTCTGTTAGTCATAGAGGCTTCATGTTGAGATCTGGAAGGTTCTCCTCCCTAGAACAGACACAGCTAAGGACCAGGACTGGAAATGCAAAGTTCATGCCCCAGCTCTCTGCGGTGAGGGTGTTCCCCTGGAGTTTCCACAGAACAGACTGGCCAGAGCCAGTGTTTCTGGGAACACAGCAGGAGGAGTGTCCCTCATGCTTGCATAGGTAAACACAGCCTGACTATCTCTCTCAGGCTCCATGGTGTCCTGGGCAATGTGTTAGAACATGTCCCTTCTTCAGCATCAACCCGGTAGGTGGCTCCACCCCACGCTAGCTGTATGACCTTGGCTCAGATTTCCTGAGCCCTGCTGTACCACCAACAGCCTTATGGATGTGCTGTAATTTAGAAATCGCAAGTGAAAAGTGAACGGTGCCAGTCCTGGGCCACATATAGTAAGAGATAAGGAAATGTCCCCAGCTGGCCACTCTCAGGCACAGGATAGATGAGCATGACAGGTGTTAATTCTGGATGAGCACCAATGTCAGATAAATGCAAACACCAACAGCATCATTACTGTTGCTGAGATGTCTAAAGGATGTAGGATCCTGGGAAGGGAGGAGGAAAAGCAGTGTTTTCAGGAATCTGATAGAACTGAATGTCCCTCCTAGGCTGCAGAATTAGGCCACTAGGAATTCTGAGATGATGGGACTGGCCCAGGGAGTCCACTGGGCTAGTACAGACAGCTTTGGAGAGCCACATGCAGAGTGGCCCTGGGAATGAGGGTCTACCACGACAGCCCCCAGGGGCTGGGCAAGGATACAGGCAGGAAAACCAGCAACCTCCCTTTCTTGGAGAAAACGAATATAGAACACATGGAAACACATAGCCCCACCTCCTCTCCATCTCAGTCAGTAGGAAATAAACCATGTTCGAGAGTTTTTACAAGGGACTATTTGTAGAAATGCATGCAGGCTCAAGGGTGCAATGACAACTAGCCGCTTCAGGCATGCAGGTGAAGGGAAGGGAGGGAGAAGAGATCCTATTGGAACACAGCAGTGTCTGACCCACCCACAGATACATAGGGCGGGGCACAGATAGCTGAATATCTTCTTCTGTCCCTTACTCTCCCACCTCTGCCAGGGCCCCACTGGCCAGAGCCACTGGGAAGCAGAGTGCAGAAGGCCATCAGGGCATTGCCCACGGTTAGCTCCTCAGCACCAAGCAGGAGAAGAAGCTAAGAAGTGGGTGAGGACAGAAACAGTAGAGGATAGGACCACCTGATATCCTGTTCACAAAGAACAGGAGGCTAAGTCTGTGGTGTGATGCCAGGGCAAGGCCAGATACCACTGGATGCCAAGCCCCACAGAGGGAGGCTGGGTTCCTCCACTAGGGCAAAATCTCTACAAGGTTACCATGCAATGCTAATGCCCAGCACAGATAGCTTTCTGTCTCCCCCAAAATGTCATTTGGTAGGTAAGTTTTGAGGAGGTCCTTGTCTATACAGTCTCTAAGAACCACATGTACTCCAAATTTCCACATGCTGTTGTATACAGCCAAAGATGATGGCTGGGCACCAGTGGGAAAGGCAGAGGGAAAGACTGTCTGATGGAGACAGAATCCCCAGTCCAGCAGCTGCCTCTGGAAGACTTCCCAGAAGAAGCTGGTTGGCTTCTTCAAGACAATTATGAGGGAAGAGATGACTGAGGGGCAAAGAGGAATGGGAAGGAGATGGGCCAGGCTTCTGTTAATTGGTGCCCCCTGGAGGTGGGGAGGTAGGGAGGCAGGGAGGCAGGGAAGTTGGCCCTGATGTGCCTGGGAAGGTGTGAACAACCATGTAGGCAGGAATCCAATTCTAGAACAATGTAGTGAAAGTGAGATTAAAAAAAAAAAAAAAAAAAAAAAAAGAGGTGATCTGAGGTCACCCTGAGGCTACTGTTTGCAAGCTGGGGGAAGGGAGGGGGCTGGGGACATAAATACGACCAGGGTCAGGTTCAGGCAGAACCACCCTAGTCATGACTCTTCCTTGAGTGAGGAGCTACTGAGAGAAGGAGACTTCCTAGAGCTCAGCAGCTATGACCCACTACACATGATTGGTGTGCTGTCCCCTCCTTCTTGTGTCCTGCAGGTACCATCACAGTGCACCTCAGGAGAGACAGCAGAGGCCATCTTGGCCTGGTTGCCAACCCACTGAAGGAGAACTTGGAGCCTCTCCAGGTCTCCCCAGATTCCAGAGCGGTAGCCATCTGGCAGACACTTCAGCATACTGCCAGCAGTGATAGCAGCCCCCGTCCCCTGGCCCAGCTGGCACACTCACTCAAGGAAAGGTGAGAGCCACCGAGCAGGTGACAGAAAGCTGGGTGTTCATCCCTTAGCAGGTACCACACTGTGCGCAAGGCCAACCGCTCCATCTGAGGGTTGGTGTCAAGGAAATGAGAAATTGGAATGAAGGCTTGGTCTAGAACAACCAATGTTGCAACGAAATGGGGGAGGGTGGTCTCTTCCATCCTTTCTTGGGGGCAGGAGAATGGATACGTGTTCTAGCTCAAGGGCTGACACACAGGCAGGGCCTGTGTCCACAGCTTGTTTAATTAAATACGTGCTTCGCTGAGACTACTCAGGTCTCTGGGGGAGAATATGTAGCCGGAAATCTTGGAATAGTTTATGGAGAGGAAGTGTGCCTAATTTCTCTTGAAAGTCAGCTAACCATGGGGAAGAGACAAGGAGAGTGAGTCCCAGGAGACAAAAGAGGCCCCCAGGGGCCTAAGGACCTCAGAGAGATCTTGGGAGTCTCTGATAATGTCAGCTGACCTTTCCCAGGGTCTCTGGGGGCCTTAAAACATTTGTGGGGAACAAAAGGTGGCTGATACAGTGACAATGCACTCTTCCCCAAGGAACCACAGATCTAATTAAGCTCTTGGTTCAGAGGCAAGGCTATCTCATCACCACAGGGTGCCAAAATGCAGAGGGGGCACATTCTGTACTCATTGTAAGGGCGCTAATCCAGAACCCCAGCCTTGAGACTCCAGGTGGGGTTGCCATCCCTTTCCTCCATCACCTCCATCCCAGGAGTGTACCTAAAGGGCTCTAGCTCTCTGAGGGTGACACACTAGGAAAAGCCCCCAAGAGGACCTAGGCCTGGTGTAATCTGGTGTCACGTACCCAGTTTGGGCAGGGAGGCACTCAGGACCCTGTGGCATCTCTGGTTTCTTGATGAAAGAGTCCTATGCAACAGTCTGAGTGACCTTTACCAGAGGCCATATCAGAGAGCCTGAGCCGTGAGCACAGGCATCTTCCTTGCTCTGGCTACTGCTATCTTCAACTGCTTTCCTCTCTGCAGCACAGCCCAGGTGCTTCTGAGCTCTGATGGCCACCTCAGCGCCCAGGCATCAGCATTGTTGCAAAGTGCAGATGGGAGCCCAGGGGAAAGAAGGGGCTTTAACCCATGGGGCCTGCACTGTCACCAAGCCCACCTGACCCGCCTGTGCTCTGAGTACCCAGAGGATAAACGGCACCGTATCCTTATCACCCTTGCATCTGCACAGTCCCTGGGGCAGGTGTGAGTAGAGGAGGACAGAGAGGCAGAAACAGATGGACAGATGGTACACACACATATATACACATATACACACACATACACGTACACACACACACATACATATACACATACATACACACATACATATACACATACACACATACATTATACACATACATAATACACATACACACATACATTATACACATACATACACTCATACACACATACACAATACATACATATACACACATGCACACATATACACATACACACACATATACACTCACACTCACACACACACACACACACAGGGACAAGGAGATAGGTGGGATGGGGAGGGAGAAACAGATGTAGTGTAATTTGAGGATATGAACCCACAAGCCCAGGGTCTGGAAGAAATCAGATCCCTTCAATAGAGAACTCATCGTGAGTGGCAACATCCAACTAGTGGCTAGGCTGGGCCCTGGCATGCATGTCTCTGGCACTTCAGCAGTATAGGAGAGATGGGACAGGGCTACTGTGGAGGCAGAGGACAGTGTGATGCTAGCCAGGCAGGAACCAGAAGTTTCTTCATCTCAATCCCATTCCAACATCTCTTCTGTCACTTTACTTTCTACCTGAGCTGAGGAGGGACCTGAGGGGAGGCCCACATTTCCTACCCCTTCCCACACACTGCCATGTAGTTTAGGGTACCCCCAGCCCCCACCAGTACTTGCTGCAAACAGCAGCTGTTCTTCCAGTATTTACTATGACACATCTGCCGCCCTAATCCCTAAGAAGCTTTTGAAGGATAATTACTCCGCTGAAATTAATATTCCTGCAACTTATCTCCGAGGCAAACATCAACCCCCTTGTCCCAGAAGGTACTGGCCCGTTCAGCGGACTGAAGGTCTCAGCCCTATGATTTTCTGCCATAAAATGTAAATCGGGCATGGCCTGCCAGGAATTTCATGCCTGAATTTAAATTTTAACCTCAGAGCAAAATGGGAAAAGGTTCTCATAAACTCCCACTAAATAAATGGACTTATTAAAGCAGGCTGCCAGTGAATATCTTGCATTCTTAATAGCCAGGCTCACTGGTAAGGCTGGAAACAGGAGGCGGGGAGGTGGGGGGAGGTGTGAGTGGGAGCCTCAGGTTCTCTGACTGGTGACCCCAGAGCTTTCCTTGACTTAGTGCATCCAGCATTTTTGCTCTTGGAAAATGTGGTGTCACAATACAAGCAACCCTGTATCTTGGATCTGAAGATGGGGACCCGGCAGCATGGGGATGATGCATCGGAGGAGAAGAAAGCCCGTCACATGAAGAAATGTGCGCAGAGTACTTCAGCCTGCCTGGGCGTGCGCATCTGTGGCATGCAGGTAGGTAGGTGCAGAGGGCTGGCTGCAAGGGTGAGAGGCTGACATCCTGGCAGGGCTGGATGCCTGCCACCCACACCTCTCCTTCCCAGAAGAGCCCATTACCTTAAGGAAGCAACAGAGAAGGCTGTAGGGTACTTTCCAAACAAGGAGGCCTTCTGGTCTGAAATGCTGGGTGATGGTTGTTTGGTGTTTTAAGACAGGATCTCAGAAAACCTAGTTTGGCTTCATACTCCATATGTAGCCAAGGCTAACCTTGAACCCCTGATTCTCCTGCCTCCTCCTCTGGTGTGCTAAGGTTACAGGCCTTAAGTTATTTTTGTTTTGTGTTATAGTGCTGAGACGGATCCCAGAACCTTGGCAGGGGAGGCAAGCATTCTACCACTGCCTTGCATTCCCAACCCACACACTGGTTTTCTAAAGAGTACCATTGAAAATAATCCAAAACTCAGCCTCACCGTTTGGAAGCAGCTAACATTTTGTGCAATTGGGAGGGACTGTCAATAATGATGTGGGGTCAGGGGTTGGAGAAGAGCTGAGAAAATACACCTGGTAGCTTACTGATCCCATATGCATGATAGAGCTGAGTTCTGTCCCCTCTGAATTCTCATTAGCTGGTGAACATTCACCCTTTCTGCTTCTTTCTGCTGCTTGGTTGGGTTAACTAAGTAGGAAGGTCAGAAGCCACTAAACCCAGGCACAGAGGTGGCTTATTCCCTTCTTGTCTGGGTCCCACACCTCTGTACATAGGAGGCTGTGGCAGGGCTGCCGGGAGTCAGGCAGGAATCCACGGTGGACAGCCTGTCTACTCAATACAAAACCAGGCTCTGCTTTGACGGCAAACGTTATAGCTTTCCTTAATTGAAGCTGCCACCCCTTGAAGCTGAAAGTTGAGTCCATAAATTCATTGCACAGATGTCCCTGGGAAGGCTAGGGATACAGTCCTCAGAGAACAGAGTGGGATGATTTGTGAAGTAAAAAGTCTCTCTGCGGACCTCCAGCCTTCTGCAAGTGACCTGATTTATCTAGAGAGTGATGCCTGTCATGTGTTTACAAAGGCTGATTGAGTAACTGAACTCCAGCCCCTTAAAAACCTATCATAGCTTTCTGATTAAAAACAAACAAACAAACAAACACATTATGTAACATGAAGGGAAGACAGGCCTCAAACCTGTCCATGTGTGTCAAGTCCCCAATGGCTGTCATGGCAGGTGGCTTTGGCTCACTCAGTCTCCATGCTCCCCCACAGCTGTCTGATGGACTGGGTATGGCTAACCATCGTGCCACCATCAGCAGCATCTCTCTTCTGTTGGCTCCTCTCTCCTTTCTGACACCCAAGATGTGGCAAGAGCAGGACATTGAGACTGAAGAAAAGCACCATTCACTGCACAGGGAGAGTCTATGGACTCCACTTCTCCCAGGTTCTCAGCAACTGTATTGGCTGCCTGTGGGCCCCACCCACACTTGATCCAGCCCGTTTCTTTACCTCAGAGCAATTCCCTAGGACCATTTGGAAGAACCATCCCTGCATGCTTAAAATCATGAGAAAAAAAAGACTCAGTAACTTTGTTAGGGAGAACTTAATCAAACTGGCTCTCCAGTCCACTGGCCCAATTTCAGGTTCCTGATGCAGTTTTCCAGCTTGGGTTTGCTAATATCTGAATTGAAGACAGCCAGAAGCCAAGATTTAAATCATGACTTGGAAGTTGACATCGGAAATTCACAGGAGAGGTGATCCAAACCTCGGAGTGGTGTGCTGAGGGTCACCTCTGCGGGTGACTGATCTTTGGGCCTTGGGTTGAGACTAGACCTACAAAGAGAATGCTTTAAAATGCTGCACTGGAGCATGCTGGGAGATGATCTACTGAGCATCTCACCCACTCTTCCCCCAGTTGGCCTGGAACTTCATATACTATGGGAACTTATGGTACCGCCACTATATCACAGGCAATTTTGATAATGTTTGTTTTGAGGTCTCATGTAGCACAGGCTGGCCTTAAACTCACTAGGTGGCTGAGGATGACCTTGAACTTCTGATTCTGCTGCCTCCATCTTCCATATTCTTGAACTGCCAGGCTCAGTTTATACAGTTTGAACACCAATTTGATCTTGCCAGGCAAGCTCTCTATTAACTGAGCCACATCCCCAGTCCCCAAGGCACATTAAAAAAAAAAAAAAAAAACCAACAACAACAACAAAAAGTCTTTACAGTCCTTCATATTTTCTTTCTCTCTCTCCCCATGTAAGGTTTACCAAACTGCTAAGAAGAGCTTTCTCTGCAAAGATAAGTACTATGGAAGAAAGCTCTCAGAGGAGGGGTTCAGGCAAGCCCTTTCTCAATTCCTCCATGATGGAACACGGCTACGCTCGGAGCTCTTGGAGCCCATCCTTCGCAAGCTGCAGGCACTGCTTTCAGTCATCAGGAGCCAGAGTTCTTACCGTTTCTACTCCAGTTCCCTCCTCATAATCTATGATGGGCAGGAGCTTCCTCAGGATGCTCCTGAGACTGCCCAAGGCACTACTTCTGGTGACCCTGCCAAAGTTGATGTCCGAATGATTGACTTTGCTCACACGACATATAAGGGTTCCCGGAACGGGCACACCACTCACGAGGGACCAGATCCTGGATATATTTTTGGCCTGGAAAACCTCATTGGGATTCTGCAGGACATCCAAGAGGGAGACCGAATGTTTGAGGAACTTTCTGGGCTATAGATTTTGCAAACGGACCCGAGCTAGAGCAGCCTAGATCCCCTGTAGGTGTCTTTGTAATAACCGTATCTACCTTCAAAAGTCATCCCTATACAGGTGACATTGACAGTTGCTACAGAAATCTGCTCTGCAGGCATCCACCCCCCACCAGGCATCTTCAGCAGTGAGGGCCTCTTGGAACAGACAGTGCTAGTGGCACCATTGTCGCATGCACAGGAGGGTGTAGCCTGGGTCAGAGGCCAGCACTGCAGTGCTGCAGGGTGCCTGCATTCCAGAATGCTTTTCTGTGTCATGCTGCAGTCCCCAGCAGCCATGAGGGAGAGAGGAAAAGTCTCCTGAAGAAGCCTTGAGGAATACCCTGCTTGTGTGGATCAGCTATGTGGGCAGACATAGCTAACGCTTCCCACCTCCTATGGACTTATAGGTGGGACAGGAGTAAGGGAACTCTTTTGTCCATCTTGCCTGCCTTGTACTCAGGTTCTAAATGAACAAGAGCACTGGCTGGGGTGTGGTGGGGTTAGCTCAGTAGGAGAGCTTGTGCATCACATGCATGAGGCCCAGCGTCACAAAATAAGAATAACAGTAATAATGAATGAGTGGACAAGAATAGGCCCAGGCAGACCCCGATACCCTCCTCAGCATGTGAGGGGAGGTGCCCCCACAGACTTTGGAGGGGGTATTGGAAGTAGCAAGTCTGCCACACTGTGACCAGATGACCCTGACCTCGAAATGCAGCTCCCAGTGGAGGAGGACTGCACCAACACAGGAGCCAATAGCATTCGGCTGCATTCTCCATTTCTATGTATTTATTTTGGGTGTGGGTAGGGGGAGTTGGAAGCAGAGAACCTCGAAGAGCTGGGAGACACAGGGCAATGTTTACAAGAGTGGTACATGCTACTAAATAGAAAACCAGAGCAAACAGGTCTAATGAATTCCTCCTTCTGCAGCACTGAAACTTATTACAATGCCCTGGAGCCCGGTGCTGTGCTGTGCTCCCCAATTAGGCAAATAAATTTGTTAATAAAATTGCTGAGGTCATCAGTGATTGCTGGTGTGCCTTAATGCCCTTTCTGTTTGTTTATTCTGGTCAGCATGCTGTCAGGTGCTTCCAGTTTATGAGAAACTGAAGTGTATGGCAAGAATAGCTCACCAGTTTCCCATGGTCCCTCAGGAAATTTGGTAGCACAATGGGACTGATAAAATATTTGCATTGGGTTGGGGGAGGAGGGCTGAAGTTGGTAGTATGCTTGCCTAGATTCCAAGAAGCCCTGAGTTCCATCCCTAACACTGCACTGCATGGCAAGTCGTACATGCTGTAATCCCAGCACTGGAAGATGGAGGCAGGAGGATTAGGCATTCAAGGTCATCTCTGGTTGCAGAGTGAGCTTCAGGCCAGCTTCCCATATATGAGAACCTGATTCAGAAAAAGAAACAAAATCGCATGTGACAAACAGACTCAGAAAGGAAGGGGCCTTGAATTTGAAACCCCTCCAAGCACAGAATTAAGGTACTACCATCAGGCTCTAATGATAGCTATGATCTTTCCAAAAGTCATTCCGATAGAAGGGAAACAGTAGTATGGACAAGAAAACTCTTAGTTGTGCAATGCAGTGCTGCACGCCTTTAATCCCAGTACTCTAAGACAGAGGAGGTGGATCTCTGTGAAGTCAAAGCCAGCCTGGTCTACAAAGTGAGTTCCAGGCCAGCCAAGGCTACCTAGTGAGTCTGCCTCAAAAAAGAAAGAAAAGGAAAGGACCTGGATTTCAAAGCAGATCAGCTTTCCAAATTACGTTTTAGCTGAGTTAATGATGTCATTAATTTGCATACTCTATGCCCTTGGCAAGAAAATGGAAGCCATCCTGAAACAGAGAATTTGCCAATGACAAATCAGATCCTTGAAGGTTGCTTTCTCTGGTACCACAACAGCCAAGTCCACAGTTTCCCCAATCAGCTGCCACCTTCACCCTCTCTCAGCTGAGGGAGTGGCCTGGGGCACCACCACAAATACCCTCCTCTTACAATGGTGGTTTCCCACTGTGCCCTTCCTCCTCCTCCTCTGTGTGTTCAAGGCCAAGACCCAGTTCTATCTCAAACACCCATGAAAGTAGTTTGTGGTTTAAAAAAAAAAAAAAAGAACAAAGCTGGGTTTAGTTTTAGACAGTGTTACTGGACCCAGAGGGGTGGTCTGTAAACTCACCCTGGTTCTATAGATTTCAAAACTCAGTGGCCCAAGCCTGCTTGGCTCAGCCAGGGATGGAGGAGAGGAAGAAAAGAGGAAGAGATAAGAAGTGTCTGCAGTTAGTAGTGTCTGAGTTTACTCAGAACTGACCCAAGTACTGAAGCATTTTAAGGAACATGGTGACTGGCATTCACCATTCTAGAACATGTAAAGTTGATCCTAAGCATGGCGCAGGGGATGGGCTCTGTAACTACTTGTATGTTAAAGAGGTTTTTTCACCTAGAGGATATGCCCTAGTTAGGGTTTCTATTGCTGTGATGAAACACCATGACCAAAAACAGCTTGGGAAAGCCAGGGTTTATTTGGCTTACACATCTAGGTAACAGTCCATCACTGTGGGAAGTGAGAGCAGGAACTCAAGCAGGGCAGAAATCTGGAGGCAGGACCTTAAACAGAAGCCATGGAGTGCTGTTTGCTGGCTTGTTCCTCTGGCTTCTTCAGCCTGATTTCTTACAGCCCACCTATTGCACTACCCACAGTGAGCTGGGCCTTTGCATGTCAATAACCAACCAAGAAAATGTCCTAAGTCTTGCCCATGGGCCAGTCTGAGGGAGGCATTTTCTCAGCTGAGGTTCCCTCTTCCCAGATGACTCTGTGTCAAGTTGATGCAAAACTAGCCAGCCATCACAGAGTCTGTGGGAGGAGGCTGGCTTAATCCGGGCCCTGACTGGGGGTGGAGGGCTGAGGGTGGGAAGTGGGGAGGAGCAAAGGAAAGGGAAAACCCAGGAGGGTCATATACTTACAGACAAACCAGCCAACTCAGATGTGGCTCTGTGGTGGGAAGTGTCCGAAATAAAGTACAGAGATCCAGGTTGTAGGGACACTTCAAAACCTGGCCCAGCAGCTCATTCATTGTTTGTGATTTTTGTTTGTTTTTCAAGACAGGGTTTCTCTGTGTAACTATGGAACCTGTCCTGGAACTCTTTCTGTAGAACAGGCTGGTCGCAAACTCACAGAGATCCACCTGCCTTTGCCTCCTAGTGCTGGAATTAAAGGCACGTACCACCACCACCACCGCCACCACAGCCATTGTTTGTGATTTCATTAACTGGTTTTTTCCCCCCTGTCCTACTGCCAAATAGTTACCAAAACCCCTACTCCACAATTTGCATGCAGACCTTGCTGCTTACAAAACAAAGCAGTGTGAACATCTTGACAGCATCACTGGGAAGGCAGTGTGAGTGTCTTGACGGCATCACTGAGAAGGCAGTGTGAATGCCATATCATCACTGGGAAGGCAGTGTGAACATCATCATGACAGCATCACCGAGAAGGCAGTGACTTCACAGGACAGTTGGGACCCCACAAAGACATTCAATCCATGCTGCAAGAGGGAACAGTGCCATCTGTTCAGATGTCACCAGGAGTTGCAGAGGCAATGAAGGCCTCACCCCAGGGCATGATCCTGGAGGAAGCAGCTAAGATGCACCTGGAGAAAGAGTCAGGTCTGAGAGATGCTGAACAGGGCAGGTTGTTCCATCCAGACTAACTGGCAAACATGAGGTGGAGGAGCAAAGCCCAGGGGTGTAGAGAGTGCTGAGGAGCACAGGGAAGGCCAGGAACCTGAAGGAGTATGAGCCCAAAGCTCGCTCCCTTCCTACACACACTGGTGGTTCTCTTCTGAATTGAAAACATACAGGTTCAAGTCAGAGTGGATTGTAATTCTAATCAGCAAGGTAACTTTCATTTGGGGCCGGTCAGCAGAGATTCTCTACGTGGTCATCCAGGACACAGGCTCCTCCTAGTCTGAAGTACCATGGTGTTCCACACACTGTCTAGACAGCTGCTGTTGGCAGGTACAAGTAAGGCAGCAGGAGGAAGGATACACCCACACCCCATGGACAAGAACTAGTCACAAGGGCCTGCCCAGATGCCAGGAGAGAGGAGGGTGATTCATAGGCTCTGCCCTGACTTCTCCATCAGGGTTTTCCAACTTGTATTTTTCCTCTCTTCTCCTCCCATCCCCCTCGCCACCTCCCCTCACCTCTTCCTCGTCCTCTTCTCTTTTCTGGTCTGCGAATTCTGCTTTTTCATTCCTTATTTATGTTCTTTTAATGGATGCTTTGGTCCGTGTGTCTTCTCTCCAAATTCACTGGTTGAAACGTGATCCCCAGAGCAATGGTTCTCAAAGCTTTAGAGGGCTAGCAGGGGTGGGGGAGTCCCTGATGGGATGGCCCAGTGGGTAAAGGTGCTTGCCATGCAAGCCTGGCCACCTGAGTAAAGCTGGAAGGAGGGAGCCTGCCTCTACAGTGTTCCTTTGACCTCCATGTGCCTCATGGCGTACTCTCCTCCCCTCCCCCACGTTGACACAAAAGGGCTGGCAGAGTGCCTGTAACCCCAGCATTTGGAGGGGAAAGGGATAGGGACTTTCCCTTAAGTCATCCTTGGCTACACAGTTAGTTGGAGCCCAGCCTAGAGGGGCTTGCTTGCCCTCCTCTCTGGGAGCACTCATCGCATCACTTATGTAGAATCAGCTTCACCAGACAGAATCTGATAGCGCTTTGATCCAGCCCCTAGAATTATGAGCAATAAATTTCTACTTATGAGGAAACTTATCTAAAGAAGAAATGGATCTGATGAGAGCCTAGCCAGCCTTTACAATGGCCTCTCTCTCCATTACCTGCATGTCGATATGATACCTGACATGAGGGAGGAGATGAAGGAGAGTAAGCAGGGCAGGAGGGAAAGCAGGGACCTGCAGTTCCTCTGGGCAGGCTCTGAGTAGTCCCTTCCTCTGGTTAAATCCCCTTACACAGTAGGCTGACAGACATGTTTAGGGCCACCCACCTCAGTCATCTGTGAGACCCTACCATGGTCCCAAAGATAGGTGACATGAAACAGCCTTGCAGGAATACCTCCCCTGGGAGCATCAACCTTGCAGTCCTCCTGACTATAAAACAAGGTGAGATTCCACCAGCGTTCATGGGGGCAACAAAAGAGCTTATGGGGCTCACTTACAGAGCATGGAGAGAGGTTACAGTCATGAGTGTGGGTGACCCCCAAGCAGCCACACTAGAAAGTGTTAACCCAGCACGGATGATGGAGTTCTTTGTTAACTTCCCCTAGCCTATATTCTCTAGCATCCCCTGAGACCCTGAGGATGCACACAATTAGGGCAGAATTGTTTGCAACTGGCTGGTAGGAACAGGAGGGAGCCTTGGAAACCCAGGTGAGGGCTCAGTGGCCTTCAACTCTCCTTCTCTAATCCAGATGATCTCTTGTAAGCAGGCATGACTATTTAGCACAGACGATCAAACTTGGCCACAAAGAGCAAACCTAGGTCACCCCCATTCATGGAGCAACCTGTTTTCCACCTGGTCCTGCTCTGACAAAGGAGCAGGACAGCCTCAGGGACAGCCATCCCCAGCCCTGTCCCTCTGCTGTCCGCTGTGTGATTAAAGAGGAGTGGAATGTCATTACAGCTTTTTCATAATGCAGTGTTGTCAGCAGGCCCCGGGCCTCTGGGCACCGCTCTGGCAGCCTCATCTCTCTTCCCGGTTGTGGAGGCTCCTAGGCTACTCAGGGAAGGGCAGGCTGCTGTCTAATGAAAGGGATGTCCAGGCAAGACAGCTCATCAGCTGCTCTTCAGAATGATCTAGACTTTTTCCTTTTGATTTA